CGAGGAGGTCGGGAGGCTGAGGACAAAAGTCGGGGTTGTGGAGATGGTCTCTCCCTCCCTAGCTATATGCCCTAGAATAGTACGTCTGTCTTCCTTGTGCTGAACCAACGGTGCTCAGATCTAGGTAACGTATTTGGGGATCCTTCCAGGAGCAAAGGGTGCTGCTCCAGCAGCTAGAGTGGCATGCTTAGCCTTCTACCATGAGTAGGATCCTAGACCTGTCCTTACATCTTGCTGGATAGAGGCCCTGTCTTCTTCCTTAGACCCAACAAACACTGTGGACCTGCTGTAGGAATCCTCCAGCTATAGGAACCACTGTCCCCTAGACTGTTAGTACAGCTTGGCACCCCAAATCACATTTGTTTGCTAGGCTGTCTTCTTCTCCATTGTGGGGACACCCGAGACTTCCCCAGGGCCAAGCAATGATTTCTGCATTAGGACCCTCAGCCTGTCTCCAAGCAGGTGTGAACCTTGCATCTCCCACAGGGTGAAAGGGACATCCAGCCAGCTGTGCAGGTGAGCCTCTGTGTTTACCATCACAGGCAAAGGGAAGAAAGCCAGAGGGGGAGGGGGTCTTCTTGAAGAGATGAAGCCCAGAGAAGGAAAGTCGGTGTTCCCAGGTCCCAGAGGCACCAGTGAGAATGGGCTTACTTCATTATAAAAAGGAAACTCTCATCCATGGGGATCAAATAAAAATGAGCTAAAAAAAAAAATCCCTGAAATATTCGCTGATTGCATTACTGTCATGTATTTGATCCTGATGCTGCCACCAGTAGATGGAGACCCCCACGTCATCCCCAGTTTGCAGATGAGGGAGCAGAGCCCGGAGCAGTTGGATTCCTGGCCAAGGCCACACAGGTGGAGTGACTAAGCCGGGCTGTGCACGTGGTCTGGCTCCAAGCTTAGGCCCTCCTGGGTTCCTGTGGGAAGTGTGTGCTGGAGAAGACAGCAGACTGTGCTGCAGGGAGCAGAAGTGGAGGCTAATGTCAGATGCCTGGGGTCGTAAGGGAAAGGAAGTGAGGTCATCTCTAGAGACAAGGCTTGGGAATGTTTAGTCATATTGGTAGACCGTGGTCTGAACATCCACTGTGGGAGAGTCCAGGGAGTTGATCACATGATTCGAAGGAATGCTGGCCAGCAGCAGGGGCCCAGCTGGTGCTGCCTGATGTGAATTTTGGAATGGAACTGATAAAAGGGGTTTTATGAGTTTCTCCAGCCACCTTCCGTGCGCAGGGGACCGCGGATGAGCTGCGTTGTGTCTTGCTGTCTTGCTCATTTCTTACGACCTCACACTTGATTGCAAACCTGGAAGAGCTGCATCATGTGGTGATGTGGGGAGCTGTCTGTAGGGAGGAGGATAATAGGATCCCAGGGGGCCAGGGTTGGGTCAGGTGAATGAATGATGGAGGCTCCAGAGATGGGGGAACAGAGAAGCCCACAGCTGGGGGGCCTGTGAAATGAGAGTGGAGTCTGGGAGAACTGGAAGGGGCTGGTAGGTTGGAGTGGGAAAGAAGCCCTTAGTGGAAATGTGTGTCTTGGTGTTTACTTGTTAGGACAGCCCAGAAAGCACCGCTCACTCCCAGTGAGTGGGTGGGTAATGGTTTGTGTCAGGCCAGACGGAGGGGACGCTGATTTCATTGTTGCTAAGGGGATGCTGATTTCATTGTTGCTAAGGGGATGCTGATTTCATTGTTGCTAAGGGGATGCTGATTTCATTGTTACTAAGGGGATGCTGATTTCATTGTTTACTACCTTAGACTCTATAGCCTGGCAAGACTGGCCCCAGTCAAGGCCTGGGGTTTGCTAATGAGGTTGTATTACAAGCAGACCCAGCTTTCCAGAAACAGAAGCCTCAGGAGAAAAGAAATAAAGTCGTTTTCCTTTGGAGGCAGAAGATTTAACATTGCTTAACAATAACACTTAACATTGCTTAGCCCTTAGCCTCAGGCAAGCTCCTAACTACCCAGCGCCAGGAATTGTCTTTGCCCGCACGAGCCAGGCTTCTGCCTTATTTTTGTGTGGTGTCATTTAGTTAGACAGTCGCCTGCTCAGGCTTACTTTAAAGATGATGGAGTTCCCCAAAAGCTTAGGAAGGAACCCCTAGAGAGAATGCATTTTATATCCATGTTTTCAAATTTGACATATAAGTCAAGGTTACTGACTTCACCTTAAAAAACTCCTTTGACATCAGCAAGCGGCAGACTAGATCCTCTGTAATGACGGCTAGTGGCTTTCCGTAGATGACCTAGTCCTATCTTTAATTGAAAAAATTAATTCCACAAATATTTAAACTCTCCTTTTGTGATAACAAAGAACCTTGTGTTTAAAGATCTGTTTTTCCCTCACCCCTAGCAATGGAAGAGAACAGGGAGCTACTGTGATTCAGTTAAGAGGACAAGAGAATCCCCAGGCAGGGATGGAGAAAACCACATCACAGGCTCTCGGCAGGACGGGCAGATCGCACACCTCAGGTGCCAGCAGGTCAGATGTCTCCTCACCTCTGCTTCTCCCTGGGCAAACACGGGCCCCAGGGATGGCGCCCCTAGCCCGAGAGGGAACTGTGTGGTTTCGTTCTGGATCCCCAAACGGAGACTTGGGTTTGCCCCCCTCACTACGGCCCCAGTGTCCAGGTGCTCTGGCACATCTGTCCGCGTTCCATCGTGGCTTCTTCTGTCCGCAAGGCAGCCGCAGAGGCTGCACGTGCGGCTAATCAGGCCTGCCATTGTGTGTGGGAAGGGACTTGGTGCCAGCATTATTTCCAGTCGCCACACTGATGTCTCAGAGCTGGCAGGGTTTTGCCAATTCATCCGTTGCCCTGAAAGCTCCTGCACCACAAACAGCAACCACACTGTCTTTGTCACCAAACTCCTCCAGCAGTGTTTACTCCTAAGCAGACTTGTTTGGAGTCAGCCATAATGGGACATTTCAGGGCTAATTAGGGAAAATAAACAGGAACTGGAAACCTACAGGCCTTTGTCTTATAGCTGGTACCCTGAGCAAGTCATCTGATCAGAAAACGCCCATCAACAAACAGCATCCCAAGGACAGACTGGGACCACGTCTACCTCCATATCCTCGGGGCCCTCTCTACACCACAAGTGATCCCTAGAACAGGGAAATTAATAAGGGAGGGAGATTTATAGAACTTTAAATGTTATTTCTGTGTTTTTGATTTACACACACACACACACACATGCACGCATGCACACACTAGCAGTTTCTAAATTCAGGATGCAAGCTAGCCAGGAAGACATTAAAGTGATTTTTTCCCCTCCTCTCTCCACTTCCCCTAAGAATTTATCCCTTTCTTTGCCTTAACCACAGTTTCCATAGACTTCAGCAGCGAACGCCGGAAACCTTATATTTCAAATGAGTTTTGGAAATGACTCCATTTTTCAAAATGAAAACAAAATGCTAAGCCAAGGGGAAAAAAACAGGGGCAGGAAACTAAGCAAAGATGAGGGGGGGAAAAACCTTACATGATAACATATAAAGGAAACAGGGAGATAAATAAAATACAGCTGCATCAAACATTTTAAAGCCTGCACTTCCCATATCCAACCATGGAAAATGTTAAAAGTTGGTGCCCTGGTAAATACAAGGCTTTATTGTTTTTGAACACAAACATATTTTTCATGTGTATGTGGGGTGCATGTGTGTGTGTGCATGCACAGGCGTGCATGCGTGTGCACGTATGTGCGTAAATACACTTATGTGGGTACACGCACATCTGTTCATGTGCATGTAGGGCCTGAAGCTGGCATGGGGGGTTCTTCCTTGAAGTCCATCTTCCTCTTTAAGGCAGGGTATCTCAGCTGAGGCCAGAGTTTGCAGTTACAGCTGGTCTAGCTAGCCAGCTCCCTCAGAGATCCTCTGCCGCAGGAGTGGAGCAATTTCAGGTGGGACACCACCCCACCTGCCATTTTCCTGGGTACTGGGGGATCTGAACTCTGGTCCTCATGCTAGATGCTTGCGTGGCAAGCACTTTAAACAATGTGCCATCTCTCCAGCCCTAACATACTTTTCCTAAGAACAGAGGGCCACCTAGGCTGTGGTTGACACAAAATTCAGGATATTATTTTTGACACTTCACCTGCAGAAGTAGAGTCCACATGTCACTCAAGAGCAACTGCATCTCTGAGTAAACCGCTCTGCAGCTCAGCTCCCATGACAGCGAAGCCTCGTCTGCCCTCTCTAAGGTGAGACTCAGTTATTTCAGGCTGGTGGCTGGCATTAGCTGTTCTTTGTTCCTTTCTGAAATCACGAGTGCTCACACTCACAACTTATCAGACTCCCATGGATGGGGGCTGTAAGGCATCTTGGAAAGGTACCTCTTTGTCATGTGCTCCTGATTGTAGACTAGCAAGACTGGACTCTAGCACTCAGATAACAACCCCAACCTCTGTGAACTGTATCTCATTTTCAGGGGTGTCTCGTTACAGCACACGAGGATCAAGTTAGGTCAGCTTGGCCAAGCAAACTTTTCCCACGAAGTTCTTTCTGTTTCCCTACTTATCTGGGCCTCTTAGCAATATTCGCTCACTGCCTGGAGGACAAGTCAGTTTCTGAAACACCTTCCAGGCTCATGTTTCTTTCCTGCTCTTTGACACCTCCCTGAAGCTCCAAGGTTAAGACCCGCCTGCCCTTTCTCTCAGGAATCTTCTAGGACACAGGATTTACCATTTTATTGTCTCTAAGCTTGGTGCAGGATGTTCAATACCATTTTTATAGCAATGGCTTAGGGTTTCCATTCAGTATCCAATATTCTTCCTGACATGTTCAATTGCAGTGATATACTATTTTCTCCCCTTAAAAAAGAACCCCCAAGTGTTCCAATTATTAGCACAGTTGTGACGATGGCAACAGGGCCGCAGCAGACGGCAGTACGGCAAAACTCTAACATATTCCCCATCTCAAAGCCAGATTTCTAGTTCACACAGACATCTCTAAAGACTTCATTTGCCGATGAGCTGGGGATGGGAGACCCCTCTCCACCCTACCTGGGTAAGGACGCATACTGCCTCTCCATCCCTTCAAAGCGGAGGTTGTGTGTGCTTCCATCTGGACCCTTTCCAGGCACCTGTGGAGAGAGGAGTAATTAGAGCTTGAGGATCCATTATACACCCCGGTTACTGACAATGCATCTCAAAATTATAATCAGTGCAAATGCTGCCGCAGCCTGCCAAAACTCCAACCTGGGGAAAGCGAGCAAGCACTCGGCTTTGCTATGGGCAGCGGTGACCAAGCTACAGGCAATGTGCTTGACGTCACTTCTTCCTAAAAGGGCCACTGCCAAGTCAACTCCTATCCACTTCCATGGCCAGGAATATTCTATAGCTGTTTTCTCTTCTTTGCCAAACTGATGTTAGTTTTTTTTTTTTTTAGGAGAGATTTAGAATTATAAAGAAACTGAACCAATGGCATAGTGAGTTGGCTACCCTGTGCCTAAGGTGCTCTTATTTTCGGAAGGGACATTTCTTATAATTAATGAGTCAGTATTGGTATGTCACTGTTAACTAAAGTCCACAGGTTATTTCTATTTTTAGTTAATGTTCTTTCTGAACCCAGGATCGCTTCTCAGGTGTCATACCGGGTTTAATCACCATCTTGTCGGAGGCTCCCTCCTCTTCGCTCTGCTTAAACTTCAGAAACACAAAACAATTATCCTGTGTGCATGTGTTCGTGTGCGTCTGCATGTGTCCTGCCGCATGCAGAAAGGTCAGGGACAAACTGCAGGAGTTCATGCTCTCCTTCTGCCCCTGGATTCTGGGGAAGGAACTCAGGTTATAAGGCTTGCTGTCTAGAGCCTTTTCTCATGTGTCATCTTGATGCCCCCTTGGCTGTGAGTTTTAAAAGCAACGGGAGCCTTTCTTCACTAAAAGGGATTAATGTTAACTGAATGTTTGCGGCACAGTGGCTATAAAGCCTTCCCTGACACTCTGACCTTCACCTCGTTCTGTCCCTTATGAACAACCGCTTGGAAACTATGAATTGTTTTCCCATAACATTGGTACTGTCGATTTGCCCCTTCCTGTGTTTCCCTAGGCCTCTGAGGTCCTGGCATGACTAGATCCAGTAGGTTCTGAGAGTGTATTGGATGGCTGAGCACAAAGACCTTCTACCTCATCCTTCTGTGTCCATCATACCCGTCAGTGGATGGACAGATACAGGCATGGGAAAAACACTTGCTTGGTGGCCGGTGGCTTACCCATGTGAGCACACACACACACACACACACACACACACACACACACACACATATGCATGCCACTGTGGGCCATTCATGTGCTTGCTTTTATATGCTAGGGTGGCCTTTGTTCAAAGGCTTGGGAAGGGTCAACTGAAAACTTGTAGTATAATTGAGTAGAGAGGAGGAGAGTTTGCTAGAAACCAGGGAACAACAGTGTCAAAGTCATCGGTAGGCACTTCTAAGTCGTACTCAGCAGCTGAAATCATTTCCTTCCTGCCAGGAGTCTTAGTTTTCTGCTCATCTCTGCCTTAGCATTTTAAAGGGTAGGATGTGTGTATCCGCGCGAGGGCTGCCGGTGGGTTCTGTGGGGGAGAGATGCTTCCGAGTGGATGTGCACGGCCAGGGAGAATAAGCTACTTCTGGGATCTAATCATCGCGCGAAGCCTTTTAGCACCTGTCCTGAGAAACTATTTCAGCAATGCATGGATGGGAAGAGGTGAAGTTATCTTTCTTTAAGATTTTCATATGTGCATTTATAACCAGGTCCATTTCCTCCTCCCGCTCCCTTTGTGTCCCCTATAACATGACCCCTCCCAACTTTTTTTTTTTGTGGTTTTAGTGTTGGTTTCTGTAGACAAGGTTTTTGTGTTGCCTTGGAACTCACTATGTAGACCAGGCTGGCCTCAAACTCAGAGCCTGGCCTGCCCCTGCCTCCTGAGTGCTGGGATTAAAGGCGAGTGCCACCACCAACTGGTTTCCTCATCTTTCTTAGATAACCCTCTAAAGTCCTGAGAAAATGAGACTGAATGTTCAGCATCACTGAGCTTCCTGACAGATCAGGGACAGGGATGGCGGCAGACAGGGTACAGAGGTGAAAATAGCAGAGAAAAAGAAGTGAAGGGTAGGACTATGATACCCAGCCACTCCTGGCTACAGGATTTGCTGTACTCTTTGAGGTAGGGTCTCACTCTGCAGCCCAGGATGTCTTTGAACTCATGAATCTCCCGAGTGCTTGGATTATAGGACTACACTACCACCGAGAACCGGCATGTTTAGTTTTTAGGTTTTCTTAGGAAGAATTCATGTTAACATAGTATTGATGAATATTAATGGTGGATGTTGGGATAACACCATGCTTATGAATCCTCACATGGCTCAAGACATTCACAAATAAAGCTGCAATTTGCTAGTTAGCACAGTCATCCAGAGTTGGGCTGGCCTCATGAGGGTAGCAGTCCATACTGTGGTGACTTGGGGTGCTACCCCTTGCCTGTTGTTGTTCTGGGGAGCTATCTCACAAGCATTCTAGACTCCAGAAGATGTAGCACAGCCCCTATCCTCAAGGAGCTTTCCGTCTCGTTGGGATGCAGTGAAAATGTGCAATGGAGAATCGTACATCCCGTCCAGGATGCTACCATTTGGAGCCCAGATGGAAACTGAAGGTATTATGAAAAGCCTCATGAAAGAGGCAGACCTTGGGCCTGATTTCAAAAGACAGGCAGGGTGTTTGCACATCAAAGGTTGTTCTTTCTGTTCCTCACCGATTGGGTATCTCTCTGAGCGCCTCTGTACTAACACTGCAGCACCGTGCGGAAACAGTCCGTGCAGAAACAGTCACGCAGTAAGCAATCACCCAGCACCTCTGTATCCTAATATACAGGAGGCTGTGTGTTCCAAGTGCTGAAGAAACGCAGCCCTTGTTCTCGAGGAGGCAGGACCTGCAAACAATTATGCCTTGATGACATCATGCTCGAGTGGAAGTCTGGGGAAGGAGGCAGCACCTGGGAGAACCGAAGACAGCCTCGGATGAGTGGTGATGCCTCCTCCACAGCTGAATACGAACGAGGAGCTTTTCTGGGGGAGAAGAATGAACAAGAGCAACAGGAGGCACCCTAAATAGAGAGAATAGGCATGCAGCAGCACTGGTTTTAGGGCAGGCATGATTTGGATAAGGCAGAAAGAGAGCATGAAAAGTAAAAGTGTGCTTCTTACCACCCACAGAACTGGGTCTGCTCCCCCTGCTGCTGGGGCTGCACTGCAGGGGTTTGTGCTGTGTGCGTAACACCCTGCCCCCTTTAAAAATGGGGTCTCTTAAAGGTCTGGATCTTGCCAAGTAAACTCCAGGCTAGCTGGCAAGTGATCATCAGAGCTTCCTCGGCCTCTGCCTCATTGTTTCCGGGGGAGTGTGTGCCATACCTGGCTTCTTACAAGGGTTCTGGGAGTTAATTTGAACTCTCTTGCAAGCACTTTGCTTACTAAGTTGCCTCCCTGGCTTCTGTGATGCTGTGTGTGTGGTGTATGCATATGCAGGTGGGTACACATGTGTGTACATATGAGTACAGGTACTTGTGGATATGCATGTGGGTGCACATGTGTGTACAGGTGAGTACATGTGAATGTGCATATGCATGTGGGTACACATGTGTGTACAGGTGAGTACATGTGCATGTGTATATGCATGTGGGTGCACATGTGTGTACAGGTGAGTACATGTGAATGTGTATATGCAAGTGGGTGCACATGTGTGCACATGTGAGTCCAGGTACTTGTGTATATGCAGGTGGATGCACAGGCGTGTACAGATGCACATGTAGATGTATGCATTGGCAACAGAGGTTGACAGTGGGTGTCTTCCTTGACTGTTCTCCACCTTATAATTGACACAGGTCTCTCGCCTGATCACAGAGCGAACCAATTCAGTTAGTCTAGCTAGGCGGCTTGCTTTGGGAATCCCCGTGTCAGCCTACAGAGTGCTGAGGTTAGGTGTGGGCTGCTCTCCCTGCTTGACATGTTCCTAGAGGCTGAGGATCCAAACTCCAGTCTTTCCACCTGGGTAGCAGCTACCCGCTGAGCTACCTTCCCAGCCCCTCTCCCCAGCAAGGCTTTGGGTTTATATCAAATAGGATGATTCGAAGATTTTCCCTAAACCTCTGCTCATACACACGATTAACTTCTCCCATTATCAGCACCCCCATCCGCAGCGGGGACTATTATGGCCACCCTAACTGCATGGTGTATGTTAGGTGTACACAGTGTGGGTCTGGATAGTCAAATGACATGTACCTGCAATCACAGTCACACAGAATAGTTTCAGTGGCCCTAGATCCTCTGTGTTCTCTGCCTGCTCATCTATCTCTCCTGACAACAAGTATGTGAAATCATGTCATTGGGAATATGTAAATTGAAATCATATGTCATTGGGAATATGTAAATTGAAATCATATGTCATTGGGAATATGTAAATTTTTGCCTTCATGGTTTTAACTTGCAGAATGTCAAAAGTTGGAATCATACATAGTGTGGCCTTTTCAGATTGATTTATTTTACTTGGTAATCTGCATTTTAAGTTTTTTTTCCAAGTCCCCCCCAGCTCCCCTTGTTGTTGTTGTGACTTGATAGCACATTTTCTTTTAGCACTGAATAATCTCCTTCTTTCAGGGTGTACCACTGTTTATCCCTTCATCTATGGAAAGGCTTCTTGGTTGCTTCCAAGTTTTGCCAATTACGAACAAAGCTTCTGTAAATATTTGTGCGTGGGTTTTTGTATGGACGTAGGTTTCAACACCTTTTGGTAAATACTGAGGAGGACAATTGCTGGATCACATGGTTAAGACTATGTTTAGTTTTGCAAGAAAGTTCCAAACTGCCTTCTGACATGGCTGTGCTATCACGGTCTCCCTTCAGCTCCCCAAAGTAGAGCTCCTGTCCCATACTTCTGCTGTAGTGTACGGTGGTGCTGTGTTCCAGGCTTTGGCCATTCTGACAGTTATGCCTGGTATCTCATTTTAATTTGCACAATTCCGATGACTTATGATGTTACATACTCGGTCGCCACTTGTGTATTTTTTGGGTGACGTCAGTTGACATCTCTGGGTCATTATAAGTTGTTC